ATATTTGTTTCTTTGCCACCAAGTTGATTTCTTACCGTCTTTTTCCAAATTCTCGTTTAAACTTTCTATAGCATACAATTTATAAAACCCACTGTACCTTGTCCTGTAGATCTCATCCCCCGAAGACTATTTCAATATATCAGTATATTCTTACCGTTATTTTATTATTACTATCACTATTATCATAACATACACATGTTGAAAATAAAAATTGTAATCATACATTATTTGTAATTTTCAAGCGTATGATACTGTTTAAAGTCAACAATAATCAGTTTATAATTTGGTGCTAGTAATAGTTGTGCCACAAAGAGTGATATCACCGCGTTTCTTCACGGATCTGCTACTTGTACTCATCACTAATTGTAAGTCTTATCTAGCATATCCTGCTTTGGATGTGCCGCTGTTAACCACTTCCCTGCAGTAGTCGGTCTAAAACACGCAAAGCTTTCTCCAGTCACTTTTTTAAAATCCGATACAAAATTACATTAAAAAAATGTCTGCTCTTAACTTTATATTTCTCCTTCCATTTTACTATTTATCCTTTTTGTGGCTAAACGTGGTTTCGCTTGTTTACCTGGTTTTACATTCCTTTACATTGGTTGACGTTACTCTTAATCGAATAGTTGAAGACTATTTGAACGATAAATATTTTACAGAAGAATTTGAAAATATCGATGTATTCTTTCCTTCAAGACTATAACTCGTCGTCCAGTTTACATGTCACAATGACAATTCGCACTCGATAAAAACCAACTTAGAGGATAAAAAGAGTTATAAGAGAAAACATCGTTAAGAATATACTGATACATTGCAATAATATTTGGGGGATGAGATCTAGAGAACAAAGTATAATGGGTTTCATAAATTGTATGGTGTAGAAAGTTGGTTCGAACGCCGCAACGCGACGGCTTAAAAACGCTCCTCAGGCAGCCTTTCTTTCTTCTTCATTTTAACAAGATAGGTCCGATTACCTGCGGTACACGACGGGTATCGAGTAGCGGAAAGACTCGAGGGCCAAGAACACGAGGTGGCGAATTATCCGGTGCATTAACTTCTCTTGCAGGTTGGTTGACGGAAACGACTTCAGGTTTTGCGTGGCTCGTCGAAAACGCTCAGGACAGTACCTATCGACTTCACGATGAAGAAAATTATTTGTCCATTAACCTAATTCCGAATCCTGAGCGCCGAATCTGTACCAATATTCGAATAGATGAATTTTGCTCAAATATCGATGAAAGACTAACTTCGAATCATGACGCTCTCCAAAAATAGATAAAAATAAAGCCATGTAAATATTCCTGATATTTCCATATCACATTATTATCTACATACAGATTCTGTATACACATGGTTTTTCATGTTATTATTAGGTTGGTACATATGAAATGTCGTTTATTCAAATGAAATTCTAACTATATAAAACTATTTTTAATAAAACGTTGCACATTTAATTAAAATAATTATCACATAATACTGTATTTTTATTAATTTTGAATGCATTTCTTCTATTTCAGTGCAATAAGATTCTGCATTAATTATACAATCAGAGGGTGGAAAATAATGACGAATAAGATACATTTCTAATAAAAAAATTACCAGCTTTGAATTGTTCATAACAGCGTTCAATTATTATAACATTCTCATAACCTTCTTGAAAAGGTAACTTTGTTTTTAGCAATTTTCACCACCATCTTCACAAGTTTATAGTCATATAAAAAAATTAAGCGAACATTCTAAGTATTCATAATTGTTGATACTAAGGTTCTAATGTTTCTATTCTAAACATCTTTAGTATTTTAATGTGTGCGCTTTATAGTATATTTCTTCCTGTTTAATATGATTACAATCAATTGATGACAGAGTAGACTAAAATAGATGTTACTGGCTCGGGTGATTGAAATACTGGAAAAAACGACGTTTCATATGCACCAATCTAATACTAAGCAGTTGTATTTACAATCAAAGTTTAAAATTAAAAGTATTAAATGTAAAAGTATTTAAAGTTTAAAATTTTAAATTAATGAAAATGAAAGTTTTGTAGTTATCTATGATTAACACGTTGACTGTCAGACAAATATTCGTGAAAGTTTCTGCTAGAAATAAATATTATTTATACTATTGGAGACTATTTTTTAGGATTATTTTATTCTTTTTAAGGTTATGAAGACTGTTGCATAATCAAACATTTATCGCGGTACTTATTTTCGTAACTTCATCAAAATTCATAAATTTGATTTAAATTAATTTCCTTTGATGCTTGACTTTCGTAGTTAATTTTTTTAGTTTTTGAGTTTATATGTACCCATATATGGGTGACGTGTTAATATAATACGGCGTATCAATTGAGCCGTCCATTGCATAAATCGATTAACTCCATAAAACAAAAAGTTGAGAAATACGATGAAATGACCTCTGAAATAAATTATATATTACTTAATTATATATTTAAATATAATATAAGTTATTTATTATTTTTCAATAGCTAAAGAAATTTTGTCACTTAATGGTGTTACACTTTATTATACAGGAAAGTTAGTATAAATTTAGAAAGTTATGACTAAATACCAAGTGCTTTGACACTTAAATTTGAGATTATTCAAAAAGTGGAGTTAATCGATTTGTGCAGTGAACAGCTCAATTTATTGTACTTTCAATATTGTTGAGAAACGAAGGTGACCTTTAATTTATCGCAAATTAAAAGTTTGATTAAAGACAACGTAATGTCGTCCACTGAAACCACTGCCGTAGATAGTAAAGCCGATATCTCTGCGCCGCGTTGTCAGAGACTACACACCGCTAACGTCTGTGCGCGAGCGCACGCATCGTCGCGCGTATTTTTGGCGAGTCAGTGCCAAATATGTATCTTGGTTTGCGATGCGCGCGTCCTGTTATTTGCACCCACACAACTGACCGCGGGGGTATCACGTATACCCGACGAATTGCTCGCGTACTGAAATTGACACTTCGTGGAATAAAGAGTGACATTACGGCCTGTTAGTTGTATTTTTCGCTGGTCCCGTCGAAGTGATACCATCCCAGTGATTTAAGCTTCCACGCCGAGTTGTATCGCGGGTTAAGGAGTCGCGTCACAGTAACGACTCGATATTCGAGAATTTTTTTCGAGCAAGCAATGCAAGTTAATCAATTTATTGCTTACTATAGTTAATATATACATATTGAACAATATAAAAAGTAAATTTTTAATGTGGTTCGACTCGATATTCGAGAATTTTTTTCGAGCAAGCAATGCAAGTTAATCAATTTGTTGCTTACTCTAGTTAATATATACATATTGAATAATATAAAAAATAAATTTTTAATGTGGTTCATTCATTCATATCTGCTATATTCATCGTCAAGATGTGCGCTTTCCTTACTTGTTTTTATATACATAGTTAATCATTACGTTTTGTTACGTTAGTCATACATTTGCCTTGGCAAGATTTTATCGTTAAAGAATGGAATATCGAATGCATAAAAAAAGTAAGGTAGAAAATTAACCACTAAAAGAAAAAACAAGTTTGCTTTCGATACAACAATGTTATACAACTATAGGTTACTATTAATCCAACTTTAAATTAACAACATCGAAATGACGTGATATTTCAAAATAATTTTCATCTAAATGTAGCCTACGTACGTAGATGCATTCAACTTGTTCAATCATCCTTGACATTTTTTATTTAAATCTACTTTTTACTCACACTTACACTAACGAATTTCAATGAAACATTCGGCTCACAGCAGTCATACATAAATTGAACTTTTAGTATCGATACATGGCCACACTATGATATAATTCACACACGATCTGATTCTTCGTGCTCCTTATTTGCTGACTCTATTCAATTATTCGACATCTTTGTACATGCGAGATGAACACACAAAATAATACATTTAAATACATTTAAAAAGTCGACATTCAGGAAAAGTGTTATTTCCAACCCAACTCTTTGCAAATTACTCAAACGTATCGTCGCGACAGAACGATTTAAGCTCTCGCATAGATCGAGAATTAGCGAGTGCATTCGTTTATTCGCAGTGTAAAATAAACTGTGAAGAAGTATAGATTTATATTACTCGATGAAATGATTGTAATCAGGAGCGAATGGTAATAAAAATACCATTTAGCTGATTGCCGTTTCGACCGCCATGCCGTAGGAATGATCTAGCGTGCAGCGTTACGTTTCAAATTTTTGGCAGCCAATTTTTTTTTCACGCTACTACGCCGTCGCGTCGTTGGCCACCGTTTTTGTGTGTGTATATCGTCGGAACACTCTTCGACGTCGATTAAACTTCTGTAAATGCGCAACGGCGGTATTCGACCGCGTTCGCTATTCAGCGCGTACGCGTGCGCAGAACTCGCCTGGGTGCAACGATACTTGCCAGTGCCAGTGCAAAGCAGGTGGGTGACGTCATTGGTTCGACGATTAGTCTGCCAGTGGTTCTCCGTTTTGTTGATACTCTGTCTGGAGCGAAAGGTTAACGCGCAAAAACCGTCTCGACCGTTCTTGTCGATTCAGCGTGGCTAGACGGTGCTCCCCGCTGGCAGTTGGATTATCGCTTCTTAAAAATCGAATTGCAGACGCTTAAAACGATTCAAAGAATCGTACGCGTGAATTTTCGCCAGTTTTTCAGCCACTTTGCGAACAACATCAATACAAATTGCAAGATGAATGTTTTAATTATTTATTTGCTTATCAAGATAATTTTAGGTCGTACAATGCAGTCGGATAGAGGTGTCGAAGTTTATCGAGAAAAAAAAACAATATATGCCAGGTTTCAAGTCTGTATCACGATTTGGAGGAGGGGGACTAAAGTACCCAATATCAACCTTCCAATTTTTCTTACATTATTATGTACAAAATTTGAAACATTTCGGACGAGGAACATTGTACAGAATTTTTCGCAATTCTTTCATTAAAAATCCGTGTTGCGGGTAATTAAATCGGAAAAGAAAATTACACTTTAATGGAAATAGAGATTAGAATGTATAATTGAGCAGCATAGTTTTATTATTATTAGTTGCAAATTGTTTTAACGTTACTGGCGATAAATTGTTAATGAAAATGAAGAGACGTCGAGATACCGAGAAATTAAATTTCTTTTATTTTGTTTTATTTACACATTTAAATTTAATAAAAACGTCGGTAGGAGATCACCAAGTTAATACATTCTTTTTAAATGATATCGACGGTAATTGTTTAAGTAATGATTAATTGATATTATACATAGTAACTGTACTATAAGTATAACTAAGTAGTATTTGCATGTACCGGCAATAATGTTTTTAAGAAAGAATTTAATAGGTTTAATACATCAATAAAACACTTTAGGAATAAAATTCCCCAAACCAGCTTTATTCTCGGCCTTCGTGGTGGTATTCCTCCTTGAATCACGAAAAAAAATCAAGGAATTTACCTACGTTTATCAAGTCCTATATGTATACTAAACGTCGAATGCCTCGGGGGAACCTTGGATCTAAAAAATTCCAAGATTCCGCTGCGACGTTATTAAAATAGCTGGTTTTTAGAACGGACGTAATATACATAAATGCATTTAAATTTAATCGGCGAAGGCCGTGAGCAAATATCTGAAAAAGGCTCGATAAATTTGTGAATACGCGCGAGCGTTTCGTGCAGGCCTCTTTTTTACGGAGAAGAGGAGCCGACCAACTGCGCAAAAGAGTTCTCGAAATTCTGCAGACATACTGGATAAAGGTATGCGCCCATGCAATCGGGATACGTTAAAAAAGCCTGGCCAGTTTTGTATTCGGTGCTGTAAACGTGTCGCTGTTTTTATTCAGAACTACGTACGACTTCTTCGAATCGCGATGGTGTCGAACCAGTCTCTTTCAGCATTGTAACGGAAAGGTAAAAATCTCTGCTAATGGCACTTTAATATTTTCTTTGAAATATGTCGCTCCTCGAAACCACTAAGGCAACTTTTGACGTTTGAACAGTCGTACGTTATACTACAGACAAAACAAAATACCTGCTTTAAGTTCCGATCGAAGGGTCCTCCCACATCCATGTTTAAGAAATTTATTTCAAATTCACGAAAAGTATTGCAAACTATATTTGATAGTTATTGTCATCACAGATAAAAATAAAATAAAGTTTTGCAATATGGCTGGTCGTATTCATATTCTAATGAAAATGATTTTGTTATTTACAGGAACGTAATACAGTTTTAATGATACGAAGATCGATATAATTGGTATTAAATTGGTATCAGGCTTACGATTAAGTACTATAATAAAATATACAGATTTCTCTATGATGATCATATTTTAAGAAACTTATATTAGATCTGAAGATATTAGATCGAGCACATTTATATGCTAATATTTTATTTGACGTCAATGAATGTTGAATATTGCTTGTCAGGCTTATATATCTCGTGTTCTTGAAAATGTTATAAAATTTAAGTAAAATCAAGTAACAAAAAAAAAAAACAAAATTTCTTATTTGCTATGCGTTTATAATATATGAAGAATATATGAAAATAATAATATGTATAATATGAAATGTATTTTGTATAATATGCATAATATGAGATACACTATGTTTTTATGTTTTCTATTTTCTGAAATATCAAGATGACCTATTTTGTCATTAGCACCACGTATGTTTGTTCAGTACCTTGTCGTAACTTAAAAAAAAGGAAATGAAGTTGCCTCGACGTGACCTTCACCCTTTATAGGTCACCGGTACTCATTGTCATCACTAAGGAAGGGAATTTTGTATGTTTAAGTTTCTACCCTCATCCACAAAAAAAAGTGGAAAAAGAAATGCTGAGGAAGTTTTGCCCTATAAAGGGTTAATATAGCCTAGGATTACTTCATCACGGGAAATACAAGGCATGGGAAAAATTAATTGTCTTTATTCGAACCATCGCTTCTAACATACTTTACATAAAACAGGTTTTTATACGATAAAAGGACACTTATAAATAATGAATTGGAAAATCAAATTAAATACGTAGGTAGCCAATACAAGCACTAGCATCTAGAATATATGTTCGATCTCCGTTTTAGGTTTATCATGATTATACAAAAATTAGATTCCAACAGGTAGAAATAGAAATTAATGACAGAAAATAGAACATTGCCATACGTATGCACTAATTATTATTAAAAATTAACAAATATCTCTAAAAACAAATCAAGATCATGAAATCAATTCAACCTCATTTCAAATTGTAAAAATAAAACTCCGATAATTTAATTTCTCTATAATTGATACATAATACATTTATTCGAATGTCAGTTATTATCGACTTATCCTTTTATAGACACACGAAAATACATTTCCGAATTAACTCGAAAATATTGGAAACACGATTTTGACAAACGGAATAACGCCGATAAAACCCGTAGGCAGCCAACTCGTTGAAGTTTTTCGAGAACAATGGATCACTAAATATCGTGTTAGTTTAGCTGATGAAACGTCGGCGTTAATTATTCTCGACTGCGCGGACGCGATATGTATTTGTGTCTCGTTGGAGGCAGATAGCTTCGGCAAACATAACCAGAATTTTTGGATTCTTTGACGTTCGATAAAAGCTCGATTAATTCGCGTGCTTTTAACGATAAGTACCCGGCGTGTAACCTTGAAACATATATAGTGCCAAGTATAAGTATTGGCCCAGAGTGTATTAATACAGATTCTCGAAATAAAACCAGTTGTTGATATGGAAAAGGTCATTCCAAACGTTTGATTTTTTCCATAACATAACTCTGTGGTCGCATACGGCAAGTCACAACTCGCAATCAAAATCGTACACCACGTATTACAGAATTCGAGTTACATTACTAATTAAATACCTTTTTCCAAAGTTGTATCACACATCCACAAAGATTTGGGATCGTATGTCTACTCTCAACCACCAAAGCTTTTTTACCGTTCTAGTCGTATGTCTGCTCGTAGCCACCACATCGAAGAATCACACCAATCTTATATTGTATTCGTCCATATATCATATTACACTTTCTCTGTATTTTTATTATTTGAAGTTGAAGTCAAGGCATTTTCAAGGCCAAAAGTTTTTTTATTAATGATTAAAAATATTGAGAATTTCGTTCTAAAATTAAATAGAAACAAACAAATTCGTGTTAAATTAGAAACTTGACATTAAAAACAAACTTATAACTATAAATTTGTTCATTTAAATGACGTAATTAAAAAGATGTTCGATTAATTACAATTTTATATACATTTGTCTTCGATGATATCTCCAATGCATCCTCAAGATATTTCAATAATAATACTTCAAAATGGCAAAATGAAAGTTACCGAAAGATACCGCATGATGGGGAATTATAAAATGTAATTTTTACATAAAAATATAACATTAAAACACATTATTGTGTAATCATACACCCCCGCTTAGATGTATGTGGACACTTCCCTAATAGAAATAAATATTTAATAAAATTTACGAATCTATGGTATTAATATCAATTATGTCATTTATGTTTTGATATGTTTATGATGCATTAGCGAATATACATTATTAATAGTTTTTTTTTAAATATCACGTTAGTAATGATAAAAAACTATAGAGATAACTAGATAATGTTAATGTTTCTCTGACCAAACTTGGATACTATTAATTTCTTCATTGTTTCCGAATTAATATTATCTCATTTATTTTGTAATATTTTGCATTTGTTGATACATTGAACATTCTTTCTAAACTTTTAAATAATAAAATTGAATATAGCACTCAAAACATTTAATATTATTAAATGTTGTTAAATGCTCATACAATATAGAATTTAGCAACAAAAGTTGTATAGTACTAATTTACGGTGTGTATTAATTATTCATTGAAGATAGTAAGTGTCCACACACTTATGAACGAGGGTGTATATCTAAAGTTCACGAAAGAATGAATAAATCTTGTTTATCCTCCACAGACTTGCGTATTATATGTCACTACTCGTTCTTCGGAAATTAATTCCGACCAGTACGACACCCATGTTCAAATTTAATACGACCGCAAAGGGTTAATAGACTGGGAAAGTTTGTGCATTTATGGAAAATGGAAATATGTAAAATGTATAAGATTGTATACAGCTTCTGCAGTATATCATAGTACCAATAAAATAAACGTTACACTATTTACAAGATAAGAGACATTTTCATTTGAATTTAATTTCATTATCTGTATCAATGAAATATAAATTTGCATAAACATCCGCAGTCTATTTATTAATATTCAATTGCAAAGAATAATTGAATTTTTAATTTTTACTTTCTTACTAGATGAATCACATAAATAATATATTTTCTTCTGTATTATCTTTGGACTTTTCTGCCAAGTGTAACGTATTCCTTTTTTATGGAGTGTACGATTTTAACAATTACTTACTGTACACTCGACACAGTGTTTGCCTCGTCGATGATCGAGGAGTTTTAATCGGCGGTAGATCTTTCGTATCGCGCGCACGGTATCGATGTTTTGCCTGGTCGCAAGGCGATCGTATGTACATACATACATACATGTTTCTCGCGTGCTCGCGCAGTTCCAGTGAGACTTGAAAATTCAAATTATCCGCATTAACTTATCCGACATCGCAACTGCGCGGCAAATGACACCACACGGAATCGCCAGTTTATATCGCCTTCGAGCTGAATCGTTCATCGTTGCCGGCTACGTGGCGTTGATAACGAAACGATTACGATTATGTTCGCGTTGACCTTTATTTTTTTTTTGCCGTAATTACGTCGACGTCGATACGGTTCCAATGATTTACAGCTTTTTAATAAGTACTAGTGGAAACTTTGAGATCTGTCGTTGCGTGCTCGACTCGCGTTTGCACTTTCATAGATAATGCGCAAGTGTCATCTTGCGTAACCAACAACATCGCTTAGAACCTGCAATCGTCGATCGAAGACGTTGTAATTGCTCTGGTGGGCCAGAGATGGCCAACGTTTTAGTTGAATAATGGTTCACGATTAAAAACGCAGTATTATAAATAAATCGAAAGAATATTTCGTTCTCTCCAAATTATTACATCATTCCGATCGTTATGGAACGGTGTGTTACGTGAATTAATTATTACATACAGTGTGTTTCGTTTATCTAGCAAAGTAAATATCTCGTGACGCACTGAAGTTACGAAACAAATTTATTTACAAAAATTGTTCGGTTTGTAGGGTACAATCATATGATGTAATTTTTTTCGAGCCTGGAATATTAGGGAGAGGGGATTTCAAAGTCAAAATAAGTTTTTTAATGGAACTATATATTCTTTTTTCCATGTCCTGACAGCTTTTTTCGAAACGAATTCAACGGTACATCACATAATTTAATTTTCTGTTTCCAAACGATAGAAATTATATTATAAACTTGGAATTTTTTGAGTAGGTAATGGTAAGACATATCGGGTTGCCGCGGCTATTAGCTGTAACACTGTTGTCATTTGTTTTGATGAGTTGTGGTGTTTGGCTCGAGTCTCATTTATTTTGAGAAAGTGCGATACTAGGGAAATTATTGATTTCCAAAAAATGTCCTTAACAGTTCAGAAAAAAGCCAAATTAGTTTGTCTGCGTGGTGATAGATATTTATCCTATGCCGAAGTGGCTCGGGAATTTCATAGACGGCATCCTCGTCAACAAATGTCAACAGTGTCAACAATAAGAAACAATTTATTCAAACAATTTCTAATGATATAAACTGTAAATATTGTATTCATTTTTTTTTATAACTTAAGATGCTTCAGGAGACATAAGAAAGTCGATCTTTGTTGACAGTGTTGCAGGTAATAGCCGCGGCAACCCGATATGTCTTACCAATACGTACTCAAAACGTTACAAGTTTATAATATAATTTCTAACGTTTGAAAAGAGCAAATTAAATAAGGTGATATACCGTTGAATTCGTTTCGAAAAATTACACTTAAAAAATTTCCATTTAAAAAACTTATTTGGACTTTGAAATCCCCTCTCCCTACTATTCCAGGCCCGAAAAAATTACATCATATGATTGTACCCTGCAAACCGAACAATTTTTGTAAATAATTTTTTTTTGTAACTTCAGTGCGTCTCGAGATATTTACTTTGCTATATAAACGAAACACACTGTAGATTATATGTATGTAGGCATGGATAATTAAAGTGATACTCGAATAGGACGCGACGAGTAAAGTATAGTTAAATTTTATTTGTTGACGTTTTGATTTTTGCTTCTTGAGACCGTCTTTAGGTGATACAGAACAAATCTCTTAGTTTACGAATCCAACGGAATGGGCGCGTAGGAGGAATCAAACATTTTGTTCTTGTTTATTGAACATAATGTATTTGGATTAATAATCACAGAGACATTGAAGAAAGTTTTAAAGGTAACAAGAAATTCAGTAACATGGGAATAATAATAAAGTATCAATTTCTTTGGATAAACTATAAAAATTGTCAATACTTAAACAGCAACACTAATTTTATCAACAGACTTAAATACTTATGTAAAGTAATCATGTACGTGTATTTACAATATCCAGTTGACACAATAACTGAAATCAATCACATAAAAGGTGTACACAGAAAGATAAAGAAAAGAGAACCAAATACACAAGAATATAGGAATGTCTTATCTAAAGAACACTACTCACTGGAAGTCTCGAACCGTATTATTCAAAAGTTTCGAGTAAGTTCATCGCTAATGGTATTACCAATCTACAGGAAGATTATAGTACTAAATATTACTTACTAATAATACCTTGTTATCATTAATACACGGATATCGAAAACTATAAGAACACATCTTAAAGCAGATTAAAATTTTCGAATCGCTTATGGTATTACCAATCTACAGGAAGATTATACTACTAAATATTACTTACTAATAATACCTTGTTATCATTAATACACGGATATCGAAAACTATAAGAACACATCTTAAAGCAGATTAAAATTTTTGCTGTGTATATAACTTCAATGTTGTCACCTGTCGCGTGATATTTACGAGTGTACGTATAATAAAAGTATTAGCCTACAGGGGAAAAAAATGTCACGCGAGAAAAATATCCGGACAATCAAGTCGAAACGTGAATAGGGTACTCGTACTCACACTATATTTGTACGGTGAATTATCAATCTATAAGCTGTATTAAATCAAATCAAATTACACGTTATCTTATCGTCGTGGAACTATCGCTAATATTTATACAGCATCCGTATTAGAGTTTTAAATTTAAAATGGATCAAATAGATAAAGCAATCAAATTTAAAGCTGTTAAGTAAAGACGAACTGCTCCTCTTGATTATTGTATTGTAGTAAAAAACTCATGAAGCGCCAAGTGTGCAAAGCGTGCGTAAGTACATACATATATGGCCGTCGCTGTATCGCAGGCACAACCTTGACGACTATTTCTTAAACGCTATTTTATAATGTGTCGCGATCGTTTCGTATACCTATAAAGTGAACTAAAAAACAGCGATGTAGAGTGTTTTCAAAAACTGGCAAAAATGCTTACGAAGTTAACATAGGTCGAGAAACAATCAGTTTGAAGTTCAGAGTAATTTGCGATTGTCTGAACGTTGCAGGGGGGCCATACATTGGATGTTTCATTTAACGCGGTCACTTAAAATATCTCGACTGCATTTTACGATACAAAAGTTAATAATGGGAATTGTTATCGTTCGATACAAAGGGTCAAATACTGTGATTAGTAAACAATTGTTTTAATTAGTTCTTTCAAGATATCGAGATCATTCTTTTTAAATAGGTTGATATTTAATTACAATAATCGCGTAGCTTATGGAAAAAAAAACAATCAGCGATATATAGTATGCTGATCTTCTCTTGACCTTGAACAAGAGGAATCACGAAATGTTATCATTAATTCCAATACTTGGTTTGCAAGCGATAAATGAATCGTTTAAAGCTGTAGTGGAAAACATTTACTTCAAAAGGTGTTCAAAATGATTGCAATTAACTTCCATATATTTTGGGAAACGTGAAAAAAAAATGATAGAAAACCTCGAATTTTCAGCCCGAAATAGCAAACTGTGTTCTTAAGTAGCGAATCATAGTCGAACGATCCATCTAAAGTTTCATACCAATCTCTCGAGTCTTTTTACCCGAGTCAACTTCTATGGCGGTTTTCAGAACGTCGTTGTCAAAACTTTTTGAACGATCCGTGCCGTAGTTTCCTTAGTAGTTGAAATCTCCATGTCGAAAATTCACAAAACAGTGCCGAACTTCAGAGTAGTCTGGATCCCTGACTGTTATATTTACCTTTCCGGCTGCTTCTACCAAAGTTGCCACCGAATCTTAATTCATACAGCGTAGGACGTCTAATTTATTTGCCGAAGGTGATCTCCACTTGAACGTTGTAGAACGAGTACATGATAGCGAATGAAAATGATAACGCGCACAATTGATTACGAAAGAGGCCATATTTCGCGCAGAAACGAGACGTCAATTCTTTTCGTCACTGAGTGCTTGATAATTTTATTTAAAGTTCTTCCTTTAATTAAAAATATATCATATTATGGATTTTGATAATTAGAAAATTGAGGATTGGTTAACCAATTCGAGCAATCTTTTAATTTTATATCATCCTCTATGTGATCATCCATCTGATCATCTACATATTTTTGTGACGTATATCAATAAACATCTATACGTTCGTTGATTCATCTGAATATTTAGAATGATTGCAAATAAAGAATATATGAACAATTGGAAAGAAATTGATACGTAATACAAACGTATAATTTCAGTTCACAAATAGTACAAAATTGTGCAGAACTAAGATAATTACTATGATATCTAAAAAATACATACTGTATATGATTATTTCTTAAGTCGTCTGGTATAATCAAGAATAACACAGTTAATGACAAGGCAGATGGAGTAGTACAGACAAGTTGCGATGCCCTTTGCCATGTATGCAACAGTTCATAAGCGAAGCTGTTTAGCCACAACAAGAAACGCATTCCAACAGTCTGATCAGGATTATTATATTATACAGCCGAAACGTCACGGAGTTGGTTCAGTTGAACGACTAAAAATATATTTTTGATTACTTCTGTTCGGATCGCGTGATTGCTAAAAGGTCAGACATCGCATGAAAGATAAATAAATTTATTTAAAATAAAGCTTCACCTAAGAATGACCGAATCTTTTGAAACTCTGTAGAATCCCTTCTTGTAACTTTAATAGAAATCCACATAGTTGATGAATAGAAAATAAAGTAAAATAAAAATTAAGCAGTATTAAAAGTAACGATTTATGTGTTTAAAAATAAGTGCCTTTTTTGGGAGGATCTCAGCTTTTTTTTTTATCGATACCGCTGCATTTTGACAAATGAAGGTAATAAACAGTGTGTCACAATAGAAACAAGTAAGACGATGTCATAAAAAAGAAAGGAGAATAATGGAAAACAACTAGAAAAAGAGGAAAAAGGAAACAAATTAAATGAAAATTCATTAAAAAATTGACAAATTCAACTTTTAATTTTTAATTAAATTACAAATTTATTTTGTTTGCGAATTGTGAAGTGTCTTTTTTTTCTAACTGCACTTTGTCCACATCTGTTATTTGTAAGACAATTTAAAGGAAATTCCCTACAGCAAGAATTATTGGTCATAATTCCAACTAATTTACGCTGCGGATTTCTATTATTTGCACGAAGCGACCGAAAAGCAAAATAAGAATTTCCTTTCCGTCCAGAATTCTTCTTTGTTTCTTCCTCGTAAAAAGATTATGGAGCGGTCAGGCGAACTACGACGTCATTTTCCATTCATTCGCAAATGTAGTTGATGTCTGTGTGTCGAAACTTTAAAGTGAGTTATTACAGTTGAAGCTCCTCAAAAAATTTCATGTCAATTCTGAGTGAATATGTCGCCGAATGGCGTGCTTCTTTGATATTTTTAACGTTTTACCTATGTTTCTCGAATCCGCGACTGGCATGCCAATGAAAAGCGATTGGGACACCCTTGTATCGCTTTTTGTGCTCTCAGCCCGTTCTTTTTTGAGAGGTGACGCTCGTGTTCTTCGTGAATGACAAATTCGTGTTAGGCTTTTCACAGTGCAGCCGTACAATCCTCATTTTGCGCGTTTCTTTTGGTTCTTTGATGAAAAATTCGTAATTAAAATATCTAAAATGGCGCTTAAATTTAGATATCCGTACACCAAGGTACATCATTTCAATTATTCTTATATTGCTGTATACGAAATTTGAGACATTTCGGATTAGGAATATTCTACAGAATTTTTTGCAATTTTTTCATTAAAAATCCGTGTTGCGAGTAATTGAGTCGAAAAAGATGATATCGAAGATCCTTAGCTGTTATGTTATTTTGTGCTTCTATCAAAGTTTGACTACTTGTATATTGTGTCATTTAGATTAATTTATATTCATCAAGAATTGAGTATTTCAAGAACATTTCCATTCGAATGCTATTATTTTTAAAGACACGTTCCTTTTTCTCTCGGGTAAAGATAGATTCTAAATCGTTTCTTATTAATAATAAAGATAATAAAGGTAAAGATATATGCAAATTTTGAAAATGTTAATAGTTGTTAATTTGACTGTTGTATAAAGAATAGTGCTACCTTTGTTTTAATCATATAATATGTATATATCTGTATATAAGGTGAACATGTATATTAATTATTTATATTATATAATTAATTATATTTATTAATTGTACATATAATTAATATACAGATACATATATAATTAAAACAAAGATAGCACTATTCTTTATACACCAGTCAAATTAACAACTATCAACATTTTCAAAATTTGTTCGTAGATATTATATATTGCATACATTTGTTTACGTATACACACTAATAATGCTAATATGTATAAATGGTACGAGGTAATTGAAAAATATGTATAATGTAGTTAAATACAACAAATTCTCCTAGACTGTTCCTCTAAGTCGCGACCTATATATTATAAGTAGCAATATGATTGGAGGGGGAAAGACGGTATGTAAGAATATTCAGCATCTGCGTTTCTTTCGGTAATTAAACAGATCCGGTTCTGCAAATCAGGTCGAAATATCAGAGGTTGAATTCAAACACGAAACGACGCATTTTCATAGAATCGGTCTTGTCTTACGTTCGACGCCGACTGTACATCGAATCGTATAACACTTTTACGTCGATTTGGCGTTCGTTTCCAGTACGCGTTTCCGAGCTCTTTAGGAGATGTACGAGAATAGCTTGATTTTAATCTCCGTCGTTTCATAATATTATCATATACGTCACTCATTATTAAGAAGCCCCAAGCTACTTCGTGTTTCCCGCGATCTCGTGGCGTTTGTATGCGTAACAATATTCTGTGAAGTACATCGTTCGTGATAGTAGTGACGCAGTCTAAACAGATGATCAAAGTGCAGCTTTAATCACGTGAATTATAGTTCTCTCTGCATCGCGTCGTGCGCATTTCCAGCCGCCGATAGCATTGCCTTGTATACGTGACTCGAGCTGCTGCACTGTCGGTAATCTCTTCACTTTATTGCGTGTTCGCTATTATTTGCTAGTACAATTTAACTAGTTAATTAGTTGCAAACAATATTCCAAGTCACATAAAGTATTTCACGCGCCCTTCTTGGGAATCGACACGTGTACAAGTAACCCTTTCGTGCCCTCGCTTTGGTAAACACAATGTATTTTCTTCGATACGAGGTTACTTTACCCTGTTAGAAATATAAGAGTGCAGTTTAAAAAGAAAAACAAATTATAATAATTGTAATACATTTAATCCATAATGGATAACGTTTGAAGGAACCATTTTTGTAGTTCTATTTGTTTCTATTGAAATTTGTATTTATAGAGTTTCCGTGCAAACTTATTGTGAAAATTCTAGTGGTTTTTCAAAGGTTCGTTTGCTATCTTGTCTGAGCAATAAAAATTATAATATCGTTTAATAATAATTACAGTTAATATTTCTGTAAGTAGATAGCTCATACTTTTCAGTGATACATAAGGCGTACCTAAACACAATTATATCTGAATTGAAGAAAATTAGCAGGAAACTAACAAAAATCTACAACAGCTACATAAAAAGTTACAGAATTTAATGAAGGATCGAATACCTTTTTTGGATGGTATGATTTCCTCACTTTTCGAGTCTTTTTATTTATTTCGTTGCTTTAGACGATATACGTAACCGTGCGTAATAGAAAGCATCCTGATTTGTTTTTACTTAGAATGTCGTGGCTAATAGAATAGTTTTCCAAACAGAAAGTTTGAAACGTCAGCCAAGTTGTAGAGCTTTCTACTAGCCAGAACCTTCGAAGAGTGTTCGATGATGGTCTTTTTTTTTTTACAGATTTTTGGATTTGAATATCTTCGGAGCGGTGACAAAATGTTCAAAGGCACGCGAGGCGTAGATTGTGTGAAAATTTGTGTGAAATCTCGTAAACAGTCGGGTTTTGTAGAAAACCAGTTAGGAGTGCGTCGCAAAATTCTGTTCTCTCGTCGCGAGAGACCTTCAAAGACGTTTCACACATTTAGTATTTTCTTGCTTGTCCCGATTGATATCGTTTTATTGGTTTTACTCGGACGCAGTTTCGCGCGCGAGAATAAGCAACTCCTTGTCCTCGTGTACGAACAAAACTGATACGTCGATTTTCGGATGCTAGCGCTAATTTCCCCGGAGATCAAGTAGCATAAAAGTTTGCATCTATATTGGCAGGTACGTTCGGATTATCTAAAAACTAGGACATTTAATCCGATATCTGATTCATCGAGTTCCCCTCCTCCTCTCCCCTGGGTTTCGTCGATCTCAAAATGAACGGTAGTCATTGTTAAAAAAATAATTTGCCGCATTACAAAAAAACTGAACTGACCAGTCACAGGTGGCTGTCAGCTCCAATTTTATGCTTGGGATTTCAATGCTTCCAACCGTTATTCGTTGTACTAAAATTAGAATCTTAATTATGCAGGTAAATATTTCACAATGAACGAATGAAAATGTAACTGTTTAGTCGAATGAACGTCGTGAATATATCTCTATGTGTTGACTTTATTTATCATCTATTAATCGAATTTAATTTTGCTTGGCATCGAATACTCGGATATTGGTATTTTTCTTGGTTTATTTTTCCTTAGAACTATAATTTTGATTGAAGAGGCATAGAATACCTCATAAAATGCTCTGTCTTTTTATATTGGAATGTAGGTAAAATATAATAAAATATAGTGAAATAAAATATATAAATAAAGTATAATAAAACATACTACACAGGCAAAATATAATATTGTATCGTAAGCTAAATATAATACTTTATATTATATTTATACTACTATACTAATAGAGACTTTGCAATGAATCTGACTCGGCACGCATTGAGCGATTTAATTGTACGGTTAAGGTGTACAATGAATTGAAATTGATTTTGCATAATCAAGATCTCTGTCAATCAGCTGCGTAGATCATTTTGAGTAAAAAGGCTTTCGAGTACAACTTATGCGCGTCAACGTATGGTTTGTATCTACAACGTAGATGCCTGCTGGATGGTCAGAATTAGATTCGAACACAACCTACGCCAACCTTCAAATTTGTGAAGGTGACGCGAAACGAATGATGGTACACGTCAGACGCGTCTGGAGGAAAAAAACTCACCGACGGATTAGGCTTTTTGTATAGTCTCCAATTAAAAATCGACCGACGCGGAACCATTATTTTTATTGCGTCTGGTCAGCGAAGAATAACGTATGGCAGTTTGATTCAATATAAAAGTAGAGAAATAACATGCTCGTCAGCGAATAAATATCAATCATGTTGATAGCCTCTCGAGCGTGTTACCGTCTAATTTACGACGCACTAATAGAAACGCTATTGGTCACTCGGTCACCTCGCATGTGTTTTAATTTCGACGCTGCTGTTTTTGATTATGGAAGACGAAACATTTTAAAAAGAGGACTTTCGAAAGCTATTAATATAAAGATCATTTCTAATGCTGTTAACTCACGAATCAGAAATAATATAGGATACATACTTATTAGTATATTTTTATATTCTCCATTTTCTTGAAAATTTCACAATTGTACTTTTATGATGTACCTAAAAAAATAAATCCACGTGGAAAAATAATCATTAAAATAGGTGACTTTTGCACTCAGTGTACAGAAGTATCGTATAATTAATTCTAACTTTATTTTTGATAAGTCAATTGTCGAATTGCAAATGGCAGAAATTAGTGGCGCCACTAGAGAACGATTATACCAATGACTGCCATTTTCATTATACTAATGATTATTTTAATTTATTTAATGACATAATGTACATTTGTTTACATTTTGTTTGTAAATTAAGAATTAATTTTTGTAATAAATTGATTACTGATGTCGAAACACGAAAATACATAGTTGCTCGTTCTGCTTCGTTGTGTGTGTTATATACTATTATGTTAATATCGCTTTTCATTAAATTCACCTCTTTATATGTTACAAACAAGTTGTTCGACGTTTCTTTATGCTGCATATATCACACTCTATTAGAAATGCCGCGTCACGGCTTAAAACACGGAATCCACGAATTTCGGTCGCTAATCAAAAATGGCAAGTGTTCGCGCACGTGTACAGATACACGCGTGTGACGAGCGGCGCCAACTATTTAATTCGACGAATTCAACGTATCAATTAATAGCGTTCCCTACGACTTATTGTTAGCAGGCTATCGAGGCGTTTTAATCGCGACATTCATTCCCACGGCATGTGGATTACGTTCAGGCGAATTCACGCGTTTCCACGTGCACGCGTGTCCCCCTCGTGTGCGTGTGCACGCAAAAGCGCAAGCGCTTTTGTAGCCGGTACGCGCGGCCACTCAGACAGTGAAAAGGCATCGCTTGCATATAGATAAACCAGGCGACTCGTTGTCCGAGGTCGGTGCTCAAGGTTGCGTGTGACGTCACTGGACCTCTTCCTCGATCCCCACCTTCTGTCCTACTCCATCGCGTTCCACCACCTTCTAATATCGCAACTTGCGTTTAAAACCGTGGCACGGCACCGTCACACCAACCTGATCCACCTTGCCACTATGTTTCACTTGCGCTCTTCCTCGAACGACGCGACGCCGACGCCTGCTCGCCGAACGGCGCGTTTCACTGCCCCGCAGTCAGACCACGCGTTAAGAAAACACGATATGGACGAAAATCTAAATTACTCTACAGAGTTACACGCACGAATAGATCTGCGAAGGCGTCTGGCCAGAGTGGTGCCATTTCGAAACGGAAAATCTGGTTTCAATGGAAAAAGACACATGAGTACGAGAAAAAATTGAAATTATAGTAACACCTTCCGGTAATTTGCTACTATTGGGTTGTCGAGAAAGTCATGACGTATTTTTTCTTGATTTTTCAAATGCTATTTATTTATATAAAGAACAAAGATCAATCAATGATATAAAGCCCGTCTTGTTCGATAACCTTTCGCCACCGTTCAGTGAGTTTCATAATTCCTCGTTTATAAAAGGACCTGTCTTTATCGGCGAAAAACTGACTAAGGTGCTGATTAACAGCCTCATCGGAATCGAACGTTATATCACGCAAAGAAGCTTGAAGAGCGCGAAACAAATGGAAGTCCGATGGCACAAGATCTGGCGAGTATGGTGGGTGGTGTGGTAACTAGGAGTGTGCGGGATCCCGGTCGGGACGGGAATTTCTCCCGGGATCGGGATGGAATCCCGAGAATTTCATAATCCCGAATACATCCGGGATTTCTATGAATATCCGGGATCCCGAAACCATTCGGGATTCCCGAGAATTTCGAGATCCCGTAAATGTTCGGGATTCCCGGAATTTCGAAATTCCGTACATTCGGATGGTTGAAATTTTCAAGAATAACAACACTTTCGGAAATCCCAGATATTATTCTATATCCCGTACATTGTCGGGAATCCCGAACATTTTCGCGATCCCGTACATTCTCGGGAATCCCGGATTTTTGCGGGATCTCGTGTATTCTCGGGAATCTCGAATCAACTCAGGATCCCGCATAAGCTCGAGAATCCCGGATATTTTCGGGAATCCCGGACATTTTACGGGAATCCCGCACATCCCTAGTGGTAACACATCCCATCCAAGGTCCAGTAATTTTTTACCGGTAGCCAAACTTGGCTACCGCGATGAGTCTCCCTGACTGAAGAGCATCGCTGAGATTAAAATCACCAGCACGGAATTTCGTGAACCATCGTTGCCACTGACGTTCTTGTAAAGCATTCTCACCGTAAACTTTACGCAACTTTTCGCAAGCTTGACGTGGATTCTTCCCTTTATGGAAGTAAAACAATAGAATATGACGAAAATGCACAGTTTGCTCTTCGATGTTCAATTTATTGTAAAATTTTCCAAACTCAACCAAATCGATCAGTCTTTTGTTTAGTACGAAGCTAGAGTTCTTAGTTATCAAATGACAGCAATCGCGTGGTTGCAACTGACTCTAGTACTGCCAAAAGTAAACTAGTGCCTCCTGTTGCAGAAATGCGTCACGACTTTTCCGACAACCTAATAAAGGGATACGCTTAATGAAATCACTCAATCCGCCTAAGATTCTTATACACACGGTGGGACATTAACCACTTTGAATATCTTCGTTAGTTATTGTCCTAGAAACAATTTTGTTAGGACAAGGTTGCATTTTTTTGAGAGACAAGAGCGTCTAGGCTCAATCAACAGGATGTCTTACAGGAGAGAGATCTTTCGTTTGAATAAGACCAACCAGAGGACAGCAACCGACTTTTCAAACCAGTCACACGGCCGGTCACTTGTCCCAAAATATAGAAAAAATGTTCACGATTGACCTCACGAGTAATTTCTTTTTCTTATTATCACATCGCAGCCGATTAATTCGCTATTACTGGCGACAAAGAGTCATTCGAAGAATCTTTCGTCGCGAGTAATACCGATTACCAGGCCTCGCCAGAAGGAAGTTGCTGCGAGTGGAGATCCGCGAGAGAGATAGAAGGAATCAGATTTCCTTCGCTCTACCTCTACATACACCCTCTGTTCCATAACTAACCGGAATGGCTTTAAAAATAACAGAACTAACTAGAAAATCTTGACATAATCATTTTCAATCAATACAACGATTTGCACGTTCAAAAAGTGTATCAAATGACGTTTTTATGTCTGTGATTGGTGTTGATATTGCTCGTCGTTGTTTGTTGAATAGCTTGAATTAATGCAAAGCGGTTTCCTTTCATGGTCAAATGCAACTTAGGGAATAAAAAATAATAGCATAGAGCCAAATCGGGAGAATATACAGGATGTTGAAGTAAAAAAATTTTTGTTTCATTCTAACATGAAAAGTATTAAATGTTATTTATTTAGCGACCACTGTGAATTACGTGTTCAACACTTATATATATGTGATTCATAATATAATTAAAATAAATACGGAATGATTTATGGTTTGGGTAACTAATTCTTACATCTAACAATAATTGTAAATACTATTTAGCATAAAACGTATATTTTAGAAGGTTGTAGTATTTTGTTAATTCTTGTTATTAAATGTTGATTAAACGTATTCATGAGAAATTTGTGTTATTTTGATTACTGTGATTACAGAATTACGACGACGTCTCTATCTCAAACGATAGTTCAAATTCGACAATTGCGACAGACAGTTGTTTCTAAAGTCCGTATTCTTTCGAAAGTCTTGAAGCCTTATAGAAACGGATCTCTATAGTGAAATCGTAAATGAAAAACCGTAAGACCGATACTAAATACTTCTACAATTATTAAACATTTCAACTTCTTCCTGCATCAGCTTGTTTTGTCGTTAGTCATAAGAGGGATATGACCCGATCAAATTGCGTGACTCAAACTGCATATCAGCGCGTGATCTCTGCCTCATCCAGTATAATGCGTGGAATATGTGCGTTCTATCTCGACGATTATTTCTGTTTAGGATATTCTTCGAATAATTGGTTTCGCGCTGTCACGCGATATTCATTACTCGCAGGCACAATCGTTGGTTTCACAGAAATTAGCTGCAGATTGTTCGATATATGTGTACGGATGCCTATTTTCTTTTCAAACAGTGTAGATGACAATCGAAATCGTTCTGCCTGTTCGTGATTCATTAGCGCTGATGCACGTTTCGCAATTTGAGAAACAGTATTATTGTTTTCAACTTTTTTTTAGATAAGGTGTGATTAAATTGAGTTTATTAAGGGCCTCGAAAATAAAATCATTAATTATCAATAATAAACTTATCAATCTGAGAAAGAGGAAATTGGATGTAATATTTAAATTATTTAAAGTCA